GGTTTTTTTTATTGCTAAGATGGGTGTACGAGCTCACAGCCCACCTGGTGTTAAGTGGTTACTGGAGCCCATAGACATCTACAACGTAAATGCGCCACCCACTTTTTTTTTTATTGCCCTTGTAGGCAGACGAGTATACGGCCCACCTGATGGTGAAAAGTTACCGTCGCCCATGGACTTCAGCAATGCCAGGGGCAGAGCCAAGCCGCTGCCTACCGCTTAATACTCTTCACAAGCCTCTTTTAAAGAAGGGCATGTCATAGCGCTCGGGAAACACCGTGGCGGGGAGCTCATTCCATAGCCGGATGGTACGTGGCAAAAAAGACCTCTGGAAACGCACTGTCGATGACCGCAGTGGCTCCAGGTAGTATGGATGAACTTTACTCCGGTGGCGGGCGGTGCGATGGTAAAAACGTGATGCCGGTATCATCTCGAACAATTCCTCAGAGCACTCCTCATGGAACATTCGGTACAAAATACAGAGGGAACCGAAGTCCCTCCGCAGACCCAAAGGTTCCACCTTGAGATATTATAAGTTCTAAGGTCTCAGTATAGTTACAGTTACAGTTTTTACCATAATATTAAAAATACTATTTTAGCAGTTAAGCCGACACATGTAATGGACGTTCACCCAACAATAAGCCATAATCCTTTGTATTAGAGACTTGTAATGATTTCTCAATGATTTGTCTTAGTTATGCAGTACAAGGCTATAGTAGACAGCTCAGAGTAGAATAACGAGTCCGCGATCTTGAGGCGTGGTAGCTACTACAGCCTATATGAATGTTCTAGTAAATGTGAAGGGCACTTTGAAATTAAAACGCATTCTCAGTTGAGGCTACAACAAAGAATAAACAGGTTTAATAAGATATGTAGTTGATATGCTTACGATCATTTTGTTCTGTATCAGCTTACACTTTTTTATACATGTAGAATTAAATGTCTCGGCTGATTCATCGAGGTCCAGTTCTAAGCCACTGGATCTATCGGGCTGGATTTTTTATAGCATGATTGTTTTTACTAACAACTCTCACTGCGTTTTGATACCAACCGAATACCGATCAAACAAAAATATCCCATGATCGTTTATATTACCGAAGGGACAATCGGATGCTACATTTTCTGTGTGAAGAACAGATTTCTATGTCTAATTAATCAGGAACCGCGTAAATATCCTTAAAAAAAACTGTAGTGGGGTCTCACAGAATTCCCAATTGGCCATTTATAAGGTTAAAACGGTGTATTAAAGTGTGCTGAATAGAGTTATGGTTACGTGATGCTAATTATGAAATTCTCCAACGTGTTCTTTTGCGGTACAAAGTCGCTAGAAAGAGCTTGTTCATTATTAACTAGGGCTACGAAATTTTGGAAATTTTTGTCAATCATATTATAAAATAGATAAAAGACGTCATATGTTTCTGGCTTAAGCTCGTTTGAGAATATACTGTAAGTTATTCTTCGAAAGTTATTGTTTACTACAAGAAGTCTTTATAAGAACTTTTTCACTTTAATAAATTTTGATAGGATTATGAAATCCTTGAATGATTAAGAAGAAGAATTGTATTTTAGTTTTAAAACACTGTTTTGATTTATTGTTGTTAGTGTTTAAAATCTTATCTTCGGTATTTAAAATCTTATATATCGGTGTTTAGGATATGAGAATACATATTTTATCTTCAAATTGAATATCTAATATTTATCGATATTATATCATTATTAGCCCACATCACAGAGATCTGATAGATGAATATAAGCCTCAGCCAATCTTCGGCATTATGTTCGTAATCTTATAAACGAAGATTATTTCAATCATTGATAAGTGCAAACAAGGAAAAACATTACTGTACTATTGACCAATCAATCGAGCGATAAGGAAAAAATAGTGTCGTTACGTCTGTTCAATGACAATCATTTAAATAGGTTAGTTCACTGCCATACCTGTTTATTAACGAGTAATCGATTACACAAGATCGATTAATAATCGTAAAAACTATTCAAGGCATTAAATTATTCGAAAAAATATTAAACTATCTCTAAAAACTTCATATTTCGGACTAAATCAAGAAAACACGCATTACTTACTGGCTTTTTCAATGCTTGAATTCTTAATGCTTAATTAGTCACAGCTAACTAGTGTAACAAGGAAACTATTATTCTTCTTGGATGATCTCGGCTACGCGTATTCGAGAGAGCTCTATCTCTAATATCTTGAAAAGTAACGTTTATAATTACAGCGTTAAGGTTTACAAAAATTCATCAATCATTGGTGGTTACATCTTTATCGTTTCTCTCGTAAACCTCATATTAAATGCTATGTGCATATTTTTTCCTAACGTCAAGAAGACGATTTCAACTCGTACCATATGTTTTTTATGTAATATATAATTGTCTCTGTTTTGTTACATTTTTATTTATATATTAAAATTGTATGGAATTTTTTTTTATTAAATAAAAATACGGATCTACATTAATCGAAGCAAGAAGTCAACATCCCCGCTAACACGTTGAACGTGGCATGAAAAGTCGAGTATTTTCATTCAGGGCACAGAGCTCCCCGGTGAGCCTTATCTTACTGAACCGTTCAGGCCATGCGGGTCACCCGTGAGCCGTGTAAGGGTTCCAACGTAAACGCTTCCGTACAAGCCACAGGTTGCAGTTATCGAACAAAACGCGTATGGAAGTGAGCCGCATGGCCCTTTAGCCGAATCGAACGCCTTGGTTTTCAAATCCAATTGCAATTTGTAGTTTTTATCAAGATTATAGCCCTTTAAAATATTTTAAAAACTAGACGGTAAATAACACAAATTTTTATCTTCCGTGCAAATTAACAGTAGAATGAAAGTCTTAAGATGATAAAAATTACTGATTTCTTGATTTTGGCTTGGCCCGTATGGTATAGTACGCTAAGCCCACCGTTGGGCCGCATGGCGTTAAGCGTGTTATTTTATCTGCAAGAATGCGGGAATTGTGGTAGCCGAAGTTCTTGATGCGCTGATGATGAAGTTTGAAAGCTGCAGTTCTTCCGTCGCAGGTCACCAGTTTGGGAATATTACGACGAAACAAAGATTTACAAAGTACAAACAAATGTTTGAAAACTCGTTTCACAACTAGGAAATGATAATAATGAATTGATAAATCGTTTCTGCGATTTCCTTATTAATAAAAGATGATCTGTTTACAAATATATTTTTTTATAAGAATCTATAAATATGTGTTTCAATTAACCTACATACTTCCTTGAAGTTTAGTATTGGTTAAACAACAAATGGATTCGAAGTTTCAAAATAAATTATAATTATTATTATTAATTGTGTTTTTTCTGAATAGGCAACATTATTATGATTAATAATGATTACCAATCGTTGCCGCGTTATCTGAAAACTCAACACAGGGTACCTACATATTAGGTAACAAAACCGGTATATTTGTATTCAAATTCACAAATAACGAAGGCTACGTGACATAAGTCAGATTCGGCACCAGCGAGTCCAAGCTCAGCCCACTTAGTTGCATTTTTTGTTGTTGACGTAAATAAGATAACATAATGGAGGTGTGGCATTTTTTACGAAGAGGTACTTTAAAACTTTGAATGGCCATCCTAATTAATATAATCTTAGGTATACCTATTTAATTGAGCGAGATGCGAGATAAATAGGTACAAAAAACGTGCGTGATGGTGTTTTTTGTTTTAATCAAAACGAAAAAAAGCACACTACATACATACCTGCTGTAACAAACGCTATAGAAAAATAATAATAAATATTAGAAGTCATCAAAATCTTACCTGAAGAAGTCGACGATGTGTTTGAGCTGACACTGTTTTCACTTTCCGTACGACGTCTCGTGCTAAAAAGCAAGTTCCAAGGGTTGTAGCCAGCGGCTTGCGTGCTACTTTTCGGTATATTTTTATTCGTATCCATTTTGTATATTTAGTAAATTACTCTCCCGTACTTAAAACGCGCACGCCGGTCGATAATGCAGTCAGATATGAAACAGTTTTGAGCTGTGATGGTTTTGTATGTATCGAGCGAAACGGCGAAACAAACAGTCACTGTCGCCGCTGTTCAGAGCGCGCGCGCAGCAACGCCGCGTTGTTTTGATCCGAACTTTCACGATGAGCGACGGAAACAGCCGACTTCTTATTTACGTTCTGTTGGACTTTGTTCGTACGACGTAAACACGTCCCATAGTTTATTACTTGAATTAAACTAACCTGTAACCTCACGCTAACACTAATGACGGAACAATGTACAAATGGAACAATAGGCGATTAATTTTTCATTGTCGTAAATATGTCGTTTTACTATCAGGATACATTTATCAATTTGATTCCAACGACATATTAATATGACGATGAATGAATTCGTACTCTAATATAATTTTCAGAAAAATATCGTTTATATCGTCCGCAAGACCGATGTTTTTAGTTATTTGATGAAGAAAAAAATATCTTGTACGATGGATACTTGGGTCCGTTATTTATTTAATTATTACTGTTGAACTAAAGAAATGTTTATCAACTCATTTGGAATTTCTGCTCTTTAAAAATCGTCTAAGGCATACGGACTGCATGCCCATTTGATTGCGGTCACTCATGGAGATCGGCAATGCGAAGGCACAACCAAACTACCGTTCAGCGATTTATACTGCTTTTTATTGAGTGTATTAAATAGTCAGACAAAGAACTCTCTTATCCTTTCATATTCTAATCCTCTTCATCAACTCTCAAGTGTATTTTATGAAAGATCTCCTCTAGACCTCCATCTAAAACAAAAATATTTAATTTAATTAAAAATTAAGAAACTAAATCAAACATTTTGAGCCTCTTTTTATAATAACTAATCATGTCAACTACGTAATAGTAGTAGTTAGTAGTGTCAACTTCAAAATAATGTTTGATCTGAAATAGTACACTTTACATTTTCTTCTTCTAGAACAAGACTCCAAAGGCTGTTACTATTTTTTATCATAATTCTTAAACAGATAAAAAGAACCCAGTCATGAAGATTCCATATCTTGTATCCCAGAATACAAGGGAAGCTTACGCTTCATCGCATGAAATGAAGACTTCTATTGCTGAAGCCAAGCGTAAAATTGTGGCTGAAGATTTCGAATGGGATGATGGCCTTACTCCAGCACCCCTTAGCTACTTTGCCGCTCTTAGTTTGTCGAGAGCATTTCATATTATTAATCCATTAAACAAAATACTTCAGAAAGATGTTGATATTCTAATGGATTTGTATCCGGCTGATATTCCCTTGAAATGTAGTGTGCCGCTAATACAGGTAACTTAAACTTTTGTTATATCCCAGAGATATGACAGGGTCGAGAAGGCTGGTGTTTCATTGGAAGATGTGGTGAAGGTATAAGCTAGAACACCGTTGTCCTGCCAAATTTTGCTCTTAAAGTCAATAATAATGTAGGATTGGTAAGAATGGCACTTATGAAAAGAGTGTGGAATGGAGCTCTAAGCTGTGAGTGAGAGAAAACTGTAAGAAAGGAGAATGACAGACAGAATGACAGAGAAAAGTAAGATAGCGAAGACGATAAAATGAGCAAGGCGTAAAAAAGGTGTCAATTAATTTTTAATTATTTTAATAAAGATTTTGGAACAGACGAGTAAAATGCAACTATGGAATAATTTTATTTTATGTGCCACGATCTCAATTCTACATTATATATTCTACATCTTAAAGTGATACCGTAGGATTGTGTAGTTGGTAAGAATCTCCACATACCACTCCACCACCCAATATGAAAAGTTATATCCGGCGATAAATTTTTGTCAACAAGACATATAGATAGTGTTATGAAGGTATTCATGTAAAATATTTTGGGAAATGCTCGTAGTAGAAAGCGATTAATAAATAAATACTGAAATAATTTACTTACATTTTATTATGAATAGTGGCAGTTAAATTATTTGCTCGTCAGCCAGTTCTGGGAGCAGCAAAATGGAGTAGCTAATTTTTGTGTTGACTTCGGATAGGGCTTGCAATAATCAAAGTGTGAGTTCTTGACGAAATTAAAAAAATATATATAAATCAGAGGGTGAATTTAGTAAGTTGTTTTTTATTTATCGTTCTATTGGGAATATTGCACCTGCACGAATTTCAAACCTATGAAATGAAGACTCACAAAGAAAAGGTTTCATAATATTAAATTGTGTACTTACCGACAAAAATTACATACAGTTTCAATAGTTTTATGAGCACATCAAGCTTTTAATAAAAAAGAAATCTTTTCAATAAATTTCAAGGATGAACAATACTGGAAAAGATCTTATGCCACTAAGTTTCCGTCCAGAAAGGAGTTGAACGTGCCATTTTGGAAAGGGAAATTCCTGTCAGCATGTCTACAAGACTATTTAGAAAACGTTAACCCTGATGTCTTTATAGAAGAAGATGCTGTAGAATTGGCAACTTTGGTTATTTTATTCATTAAATTTGTGACTAAACCATTTTTACAATCAATATAATAAATTGCACTAAATTCTATTAAATGCACTATCATCTAGATTGCTAAATAACTAGAATTCAAGTAATAGAAAATTCAGTTTGCAATTTCATTTTGCAATAAAATGTTCTTTCTTTACTTAGGTTAGTCCCTACATTTATGAATTGGGGTTAAATCAACTACGCATGGTTCGGCAACCGACCCCATCAGTCCCTTTTGGGAATATTGTTGAAGACACGTGCCCTTATAGCGTCCCTAAATTATTCGATCACGTGCCTCTGGAACCGGTATTGGTTAAACTTTACAACCTCCAAGAGATATCTTTAGTTTTTGGACTCAATAATATTGAAGACGATTATTTACCAAGATACTTTGAATTTTCAATGGGAGACTGCGAATCTTTATGTCGTGGCCTAGAAGATTTACGACACCTCAAATTGTTTCGGATCAATCGAAGCAATCTAGACTGCTCGAAAGTAAAATTGATTCTACAGAATCTTGTAAAAAAAGAAAGCATTGAGGAGCTTGACTTCAACCATTGTAAGATCGGCGATTATGGAATGAAAGCTCTCGGAGGTTTCATTTACATTCACAAAAATTTAAAAAGAGTGAGAATTGCTAATAACCGATTTAAAGAGGTTGGCGTTCAGGGAATAGCTTATGCCTTGCAAATGAAACCTGCGGCTCCAATAGAACTTTTAGGTAAATTCTGCTGTTTATATTCTATTAATTATTAATGATAGGGCGTATAAAAATTGCATTCTACTAAAGTATTTTTGTGGCTTCTACGAGTCATGATGATGCCTAGAGCTCTGGTAATAGGTAGATCGTGAGTAGGGTTTTGTGTGTGCAAATTTGAAGTATTCAAAATCTGTGAACATCTTTTCAATTCAGATTTTAGCCTGAATCCAATGTCTTTGGAATGTGCAACAATCTTTGCCGCTGCGTTCGTACGCTGCAAGGAAAAGCCACAAACGTTAATCATCAACTCTTGTGGCTTCAAAGGAGCATCTGCTGAGAAGGTAAAATGTGCTAATTTATTCGCACTCGCACTTGTATTGTTTGGCATCAAAAGACAAGCTTCCGCTGAAAATTTTTGTCCTTGTAGATAGACTAGCGGTTTACCTGGTCGTTAGTTGTGATCGTCACTCATGGGCGTTAGCAATGCTAGGCGCACAGCCAAGGCGCTGCTCGCTCAATTATATTGTGAGAACGGTTTTTCTTTTCTTCAAACCAGAAACCTAATATTACTTTGCTACAAAAATAGGTGGAACGGCATTTAAAAATCGTGCAAACCTCTGTATTTTCTATAATTATTAAATTAGTGGGTAATAATAGTAAACATTCGGATAACGAATTTATGTTATCAGATTGCAGGATTAATAAGCTTAAATCGAGGTCTGACCAGATTAGATTTGGCAGCTAATGACCTATCGGGAGAAGCTGAAAGAACTTTGGTCAAAGCCGTCGAACAGAACAGAAATATTCTTAGAATAGATTTAAGAAGGACACGTATGTAATATTATACTTCTAATCTTCTAGAGCACTGTCTAACTCCTATTTTTAGGAAAATTTGTTAGAAGAAAGAGATATTAAATAAACCGTCGTGACTTAAAGGAAAATACGTATTTTTTTATTTTTTTTATTGCTTAGATGGGTGGACGAGCTCACAGCCCACCTGGTGTTAAGTGGTTACTGGAGCCCATAGACATCTACGACGTAAATGCGCCACCCACCTTGAGATATAGGTTCTATGCTCTCACGTATAGTTACACCCTTCAAACCGAAACCCATTACTGCTTCACGGCAGAAATAGGTAGGGTGGAGGTACCTACCCGTGCGGACTCAGAAGAGGTCCTACCACGTCTAGTACATTCACATTGATTCCGATGCTCGAAACCCGCTACAGGCACCAATTTTTTTAATGATATATCTACGTACTTAGCACACGCACGATGACTTCCAGGATATCATAGCATCGTGTAATGAAAATCAAATCCGCAAAATTTGTAATTGCATACTGGCTGACTGACTGACTGACAGGCACCACCCTCCACCGGAGTAGAGTTCATCCATACTACCTGGAGCCACTGCGGTCATCCACAGTGCGTTTCCAGAGGTCTTTTTTGCCACGTACCATCCGGCTATGGAATGAGCTCCCTCCACGTTGTTTCTCGAGCGCTATGACATGTCCTTCTTCAAACGAGGCTTGTGGAGAGTTTTTTTTTTTTTTTTGTACGTACCTCTAGCAAACAACAAAGCCAGAGATTCATATTTACATGTTTTGTTTTAATGTTAATTATAGTTTATACTCCTGCCCATAAGGGGCTTAAAAACTAGGTCACGCATTCATTCCGAGCCTCTTTATCATACCAGTTCTCGCATTTATTCCTCTCGTACTTTCATTCATTCCGTTCATACTTTGCATTCCTAGCTATTTTATTAGCGGGGAGGGGAGGAGGAGTAGGGCTGTTGGGACTCTTTATTTCTATAATTATTTACATTTCCTTATTCTATCTTAAACCTAGTACATGTACACTTAATCCTATTTACTTAAACTAGGTTTTTTACAACAGTAATAATATGATAAAATATTATATGTTATAAAATTTTCTTATGTTCTATTTATTTCTTTTATTAACCTCCTGTTATAAAATTTTCTTATGTTCTATTTATTTCTTTTATTAACCTCCTTTATAATTTTTATAGCATATTTTAGGAACAAGTTCCTCGCACAGGTTTTTCGCATTAAATTGGGGAGTTCTCGCGCATCGAGTCTTTGGCCCAGTTCCACCTCCAAGTCGAATCGTGCTGAGCCAAAGACTGGACACTCCAGAAGCACGTGGGCCACTGACTCGTCGACGTAAGGGTCACAGATGCATGCTGGGCTCTCCTTGCACTTGAACCTGGCCAAGTACTCGGAGAACCCACCATGCCCTGTGAAGGCCTGTGCTACCTCCTTGGTCATTTCGATCTTTCTGATTATCCTGTATGCCTCGGACGCGATTGGGAAGTACAGCTTGGTGACTGAGGCCGTTTGTTCGGCGCTGTACCTCCGATCCCATTCGGCGAGCGTGTCCATGCGGATTACACGCTTCGCGAATGAGACCGGACACCGGTCATAGTTGGGTTTCTTCTTCAACCTCAGGGCGGCCGCTTTAGCCAGGGCATCGGCCCTCTCATTCCCCTCAAGTCCCGCGTGAGCCTTAATCCAAAACAAGGAGACGCTCTTGCCCTGCGTTTTGCAGTGACTAAGAGCGCCCCTCATCCGGACCGCAAGGACGTGAAGGGAATCCGGGTCAGCCACTGTCTGAAGGGCCGCCATGGAGTCGCTGAAGATGGCGAAAACGTTCTCTTTTCGCCGGCTGATCTCATTTGCAGCTTCACAAAGGGCCAAGAGCTCTGCCTGGTAGACGGTACAGTGGGGCGAGAGAGCAAGTTTGAGGGTTTTGGCTTCGGCCTCGCCAGTCCAGATGGATAGCGCGGCCCCGACCTTGCCCTCAATCTTACTCCCGTCCGTAAATATACGCACCTCATATCCTCGATGTTCGAGGTATTGCTCCTCGTCTACCAGGCTTCGTAGCTCTATCCCAACTTGTTCCGCTGAATGAGGCCTCTCCAGTGCCGATGCCACCCGCTCGATATCCCTGTCTCCCAGCACCGGCAGATGCGCCCCCCTCTTGGCCACGTATAGCGAGGCCATCTCGCGTACGCGTAGGTCAAGGGGGAGCACCCCTGCCAGCACCAGTGCTGAGTTCAGGGAGTGTGGAGAGTATTAAGCGATAGGCAGGGGCTTGGCTCTGCCCCTGGCATTGCTGAAGTCCGTGGGCGACGGTAACCACTCACCATCAGGTGGGCCGTGCGCTCGTCTACCTACAAGGGCAATAAAAAAATAAAAAACCTTTACTGGTGAATGAGCATCTTGTTAACCCACACGTGTATCACCCTGTTTATATCTGCTTTAAAGCAGTAATGCGTTTCGGGTTGAAGGGTGGGGTAGCCGTACTGAGGCGTTATAATGTGGTTACCTTGATAAGGCTGTATTTACTTTCTTGATGTCTTTGAGCTCTGCAAACCATTTAACTTGGTCTTGAGTTCGTCCACCCATCTAAGCAATAAACAAAAATTTGCATCATTATTTATTTTCATGTCTACTGCAATCTGCTATAAATTTTCTCTAGATATTTCAGAAGAAACTCAATGCAAGATCGACAAACTTTTGGAAAGAAACAAGAACTTAATTGGTCAGGACAGGGAACCGAGCGACGAGATACCGCCTCTTTACCTAAACGAACCTGAATATTTAATCTGGGAATACAATCCCAATAACCCCGACTACATACCCGGACGATACCCGGAACGAGTTCCAGAAGTTTAAAAAAATCTCCAATACTACAACTGAAAATTTTAACTATTATGTATTCTCTCATAGTGGCACGACTTGTGATAATAAAGCAAAGAAAATAGTAAATAAATGTTTGTGGTCTTAGCTTCCCTAATCTTAAGTACTACGGTTTGTTTCTAGCTCTCACGTGACTACCACAATCCTGCCTGTTTCGATCGCCAGGCATTGAGTTCTAGTTTGATGGGTCTGTATTTGGGCCTCATGTTTCTACCAGTACTGGAGATAAAATTGAGGGAAACCTCTTTTGGCCGTTCAATATCGCGCCATTCAAAAGAAGGACCTTAGATCTTGTAACGATTAGCGCGATATATCATTTAGTGTTTATTACCTTACTCAATAACAGCTGAATCATGAGATCTTTTACCAACTTCACAATGAATACCGCCGGGTAGTTGATCATGTACTTTTACATGAAGAAATAGAATGAGTGGTCAACATTTTGAACAGAGTAAAATGTAGTCTTTTTTTCACTAAAAGTAAGTTTGTAACTGATTTTTTATCTACTGTTTTTAAATTTAAGTACTGCGTACTACTCTGTAAGCGTACGAAAACATTTTGTTTGACATACTACCATCATAGTTCAGTTATTAGCGAAACTGAAAAGGTCACCGGGTCACATACTTAATTTAAAAAAAAAGTTCAGATATTTTGTTCAAAATATTTACGAATTGATTACATTATCTTTCCTTACCATTCTCGTTTATCGCTCTTTCTATTAGCGAAATCCGTATCAAAATCGGTTGCTTAGAAGAAGTAAACTAAACGTAAGACTTCGCTACGTATCGTTTAGAGATATGCCACCACATGTACCATGTTTACAGTTTTCTAAAACTAAAATGACATAAGTTTATTCATGTAATTTGTGTTTGTGTTGTGTTTTGATGAAACGGCTTCAGCCAGACGATCTGATCAGACAGTGTGTGGTAAATTCATAAAATAATAATAATACTAGCTGGGAACAAATTATTGGGGTCATCCGGCCCCAAAATAGGACTCCCTGGGTAATGGTTACCAGAGACTGACTTACATATTTATATTCCTATATATATAGTTTTTGTTTTTTCCTACCTAATCTTATAGCCTTGAGAGGCTATGTCAGCGTAACCGGGCCAGTAGGTGAGCTCACGGGGCTCAAACCTGCCGCTGTTGCTAATATGGACCCTAGCAACAGCCGTGCTTCGCAGAATCTATCACCGGATCAGAAACGCGACCCACTGAGAAGATGCGGCGAGAAACTCAGTGGGCTGTGTCTGTGGGTTAATTTATTCGCCGAGCTCTTCGTCGCAAACGACGGGCTCAACGAGAATATATTCCTTTAAACATGTACATGTATAGATAGTAAATAGCCCAACGCAGAGCAAGCAAACCTGTTCATCACACGAATGTTTGCCCCAATGTAAATCTAACCCACAACTCTGAGCGCAACAGCCAGGGCCGCTAACTACTGCACCGGCGAGTCAATCAAAATACAATTCATGTCCATTTAATGAAGGCCAACTTCAATAAGCAGAACAATTTGGTTTTTCATTAGCGTACGAGTTATTAGGTGGAACAGGACTTGTTGTACGTAAAATGACATATTTAACGAAGAAAGAACAAGCTTCGCCTTTTAATTGAGAAAAAAAACACCAATATTATTGATGTTTTTTTTAAGATATTTCGAACTTAACCAACAAACTATATTTACTCGTACAATTAATAAAACTATTCTTGTTACATCAACGGGAGATTGTAATATCATGACATACAGGGCGGACAAGGTCCACGAAAAGAATGATAAGGAAAGGTAATCGATGTGACCTCAACTGCTACCTAATCTTTCACCTTTATTAAGCAGCTATTGATAAAGATAAGCACATAACATTAAAACGAACGTCCGTGACTTTGGGTTATGACGGGTATTACAGGTCAAAACGCCTATACAGTCAGTCATGCGATTTTGGCGTAATTCGATCTTAGTGGACTAGCTCAAGGGTCAACTGGTGTTCAAACCAAAACGCATTACTGTTTCACGGCAGAAATACCCGTGCGGGATCACAACCTACTATCGTCTTACCACCAGCATTCATGTAATAAAATGAAGCCCGGAACACGTAGACGTACAAAAATTATTTGCTGGAGGATGAGAATTTTGACCCCGCACGGTGTCTGATCATATGTCATCATATGATCATATGTGTATAGGTATGATGACCTCACGCAAACGAAAAATATTTATGCTAAATTAAAGATTTTTTTTTATCACCAAGTAGTCTATTTGCGTTTCTACTCGGCAGTGATATTTTTAATCTCGTGTACCATGATTCAAAAATATATAACTATAGTTAAGGTGCGCGTCCATAATTTATTCCGTCCTCGCAGTTGAGATGAACGAATATTGCTTAAAATATGCAAAGTCATGAGACAACTATTTTTTATTGCTCAAGCGAATTCATTTTACTCAAGGTTAAATATTCGGTGAGAAATTTCATCATAATTTAGTGGATTATGGTATTTTGGGTCTTGGACCTTTGTGCCTCATTTTTCCTTTGAGAAATAATACCTTTATGAAACCAAGGACTTTAGGAAACCAAGAACTGGATATTTTACAGCCGTCGGCTGTCATTGTTGTAGCAGACTATCGAACCCGTAGCCTATTAGTTGGAATTCAATAATAATCAAGGTTATTTTGTAAATGTCGCTAGCGCGGTTCCAGTTTGCGGTCGAACTCTATGATATCATCCACCGCTACGTCTTTTTAAATATTTTTTTGGTGTTAATGCATTTACGTATATTCTTTGAGCAAATATAATTTATGATTATGTTATTATGGACTAACATATTCAATGTCATGTAGTTTATTTTTATTAACTTGGATTCAAGTGTTCACTGGATTATAAGCAACTCGGCTGTAGCTTGAGCTAAATCATCGATTGAATAATTTAAAACGATGAAGCTATTTCCTAAAAACGCTTTGCGATTAAATGTACAAAACCTTTGTACTAGCTAATAGGGACAGGTCCGGATCCACTTTTATTACTGGTGGTAGGACCTCTTGTGAGTCCGCACGGGTAGGTACCACCACCCCTATCACGGGGGCGGAGATCCATGCGGCCGTGTCCAGGATGAGAGCGAAGGACGCGGCCCCCGGCCCTGACGGTGTTCACGGCCGGGTCTGGAGCTTGGCCTTCGAGGCCCTAGGGGACCGGCTCGGGGGGCTTTTCGAAGCGTGCCTCGAGTCGGGACGGTTCCCGTCGAAATGGAAGACGGGCAGACTGGTCCTTCTGCGGAAGGANAAAAAAAAAAAAAAAAAAAAAAAAAGGTACCACCACCCTGCCTATTTCTGCCATGAAGCCGTTGTAACTATACTGAGACATTAGAACTTATATCTCAAGGTGGGTGGCGCATTTACGTTGTAGATGTCTATGGGCTCCAGTAATCACTTAACACCAGGTGTACTGTGAGCTCGTCCATCCATCTAAGCAATAAATAAAAAAAGACTAAAATGAATTCTTCTACCTCTACTAAAATGAACCTACAGGTTTCGAAGGTTTTTATTTTACTGGTCCAATAGGTTCGATTTGGAAAGTACGTTCAGAACGTTATAACTTTACTGTTTAAAAATCTAAATTACTGTTAACATATAATAATTACGATAACAGTGAGGTACGTGCGTCCTTTTTCTGTCGATTTATTTGTTAATGTGTGCCTTCGAAATTCCACAAAAAATTCAAACGGATATGGATGGAACTTTTTATTTTCAAAATCAAAGTACCCAGTATAGGATTAGCTCCTAATACAAATACCATCATAATATTAACAAAAACAATTTAATGCGAAAATAGCTCTTGGTCTCGCTTAATTCCCAAAACTCTCCATTCAACTCAACGGTAGGCAGCGGCTTAGCTCTGCCCCTGACATTGCTGACGTCCATGGGCGATCGTAATCCCTCACTATCAGATGGGCCGTATGCTCGTCAGCCTACAAGGGTAATAAAAAAAAACAACAGCATCCATATCAAGATTTAGAATCTAACAATTTGATTTCGCCAATTATCGTTTACAAAAAAAAGCAAATAATTCCCACGTTTTCAAGAGGATTCGATTGCGTTTTAAACAAGTTTTTCACAGCTTAAGCCTGAACACGCCATTGTGTTAGGAAAAAGTCTATCGAAAAAGTGGTTAGCTGGCACAGATTTCACTTTCAATCCATCGGAAAGTGATCTCGAGCATCCCTTTGTGGAGTTCCGACGAGATGGAAGCGGCCAGACATCGCTCTAATTGTGCAGTTCGCCTAAGGGCCTCATGTACTGGATGCTTTCTTCACACACACACACATTAAAATTATACGTGTGAGTAATGAGCAATGGACTAAAATTCCCATTGAAGTTTTGGTGAAATTGATCTTGAAAGATAAAATAAACCAAGCCTAGTGTGACCACGAATATTAACTTTATTATTTAAAACTTCGAATAGCAATATATGTATGAATTTTCTGGACAGCGTAAATGGTGCGTTTGATTGTTTCTTCTTTTTTAAAACTGAAGTGTGACCTCATCAGTGCATATTTCACTAAATGACTGACATAGTTACAAGCATGGCATTTATAGTAAAAACTGAATAAATCAATGATGTAAGATAGTATACAAGAACTATCTTTATTATAAAAAATTAACCACTGCTTGAATCCCTTAGTAATCATCAATTATAACATCCACGGGAAGAAATCGGATTCGGTGGTATATTAGGCTAAAGCCTCGCAAATAAGCATAAAAAAGCAAATATGTAACTACATTTTCCAAAAAAAAAAACTCCAGAATGATAAAGAAAGAAAAACATAAAATTTTGAATTCCTAATAATATTTCGACTTGAGGTCAACCCAAACAATACCTCATAACGAAACTATTGAGAAAAACAAACAGGGAAGAAAACAAAGTAACATTGATTTACTTTCATTATCAAATGAGTTCAGAAATTACATGATGGTATATCTC